CTCAGATTTCTCAGAAATTAGAGATTTGTGATCGTCATGACATCAGTCCATGTGACGATGCAAATCTCCTTTCACAACTCTCCTCCGCTAAAAAAAACACGTTCCACGGGTTCCTCCATGACCAATCGGTTAAATTCGTACTTCGTGAGCTTGACAATCATGGGCAACGTAGTATAAGTCGTACGGTAGATTTGCGCAACTCCATAGGATTCGAAAAGGTAATAGGTACGGATCGCGGCTTTCAAATAATACGCGGTCAAAATGCTTCGTACGATAAATCTTTCGGCTGAGGTAAGTGTCTGTATCCTTGCTCCCAAGTAATACGCATGAGTTAAGCTACTGATTCGATTCCCAATACTCCTAGCTCTTCTAATCTTTTCGTAAGCCAACGTGACTTGTTCTTGTAATCCTTGGCTTTCGTGGTACGGACATTCTTCAGGCATTACCGTTAAGAGCTGAGTCGATTCTAGGTCGAATCTAACGAGGTCCTCCGCTGTTCCCATCGTAATAAAAAAAATAAAAATAACAAAACAAACAAACAAATAACCCTAAAATAAATTCCAATTTCTCAAAAAAAAAAAATAAAATAAAAATAAAAATATCGGTTGATCGTCAACGCTTCCTCTCCATATATCGCTTCAGGTGACTCCCATTAATTGGCGTAGATAAAACTTTCCCATCTAATTCCCTTAATTTATAAGCTCCATTCGGAAGTATAGCGTGTACGTAATACGGTCCTTTCCACTTAGGCGCAAACTTGTGACTCGGAGCATTCATTCTTTGCATGTCGTAAGCTAACACTCTATCTCCAATTCCATAAGTAGTAACGATCTTGATCTTTCGGTCGTGATTTTCCTTCTGTTTTCGTTGATTTTCCCTTATCTGGATAAGAGCTTGCTTCCTCGTGTGCGGCACTTTCGTAGTTAAATCATACATCCTTTGTAGAAAAGTTCCATTTAACAAATCTTCGGATTCGCTAGGGTGGGCAGGTAATCGAGCTTCTCTTCCGTAAGTCAACATAAAAGGTGTCTGCTGGGTGGTAGCTTGTCTTGCGGTACGGTATGCAAACAATATCGGTTGGATCATTGTGTCCCATTCCGTTATCTTGCTGACTAAGCGTGCGATCGAATTACATAAGGTCTTGTTGAATCTCTCCACTAATCCATTCGTCTGCGGGTGGTATGGGGTAGAATATTGGTGCTCCATTTGTAGTATCGTCATTAGCTTATCGATCGTTCTATTCCTGAAATGTGTGCCTCGGTCGGTAAGTATATGCATCGGGCATCCATGTCGACATATCACGTCTTCGTATATAAATTTGGCAACTTCTTCGGCGGTATCTCTTCGTAAGGCACGTGCTTCCGGCCATTTCGTCATATAATCGGTTGCTACTACGATATACTTGTTCAATCTAGGTGTCGTTGGTAATGGTCCTACTATGTCGATTCCAACTCTATGAAACGGTGATGTCACGGGAATAGGGTGTAACGGTAACTTCTCCTTCTTCGCTCTCGCTTTCTGGCATCGTTCGCAAGTCCTAACGTACTCTCTTATGTCGTTATACATCTGCGGCCAATAATAGTACTCTCGAATCTTGTTGAACATCACGTCCTTTCCAAAGTGTCCTCCTAACGGGTGATCGTGTATTAACGCTAGTATCGGGTCTACTTCTCCTTCCGTTAAAACTTTAATCATGCTGTTTCGTGCTGTAGGTCTACTCCTCTTATACAGTTGATCGTCTTGTGCGAAAAAGAATTTGCTCTGTGCTCTCAGTCTCTGTTGTTGTCGTTTGTCAAAATTCGGCGGGTACTTCTGATTTAGCAGGTAAGTCTTGATTTCATCGTAACGCTGTTGTTCCATGTTGTTCGTCTTCTGTGCCAGGACACCGACTACCTGGGCTGGATTATATTTTCTGTCGGATTTCCTCTGTTCTTTAGTTAAGGCGGCTAGTCAATATTGCAACTTTTGTGGAAGTCGCGTCTCGTCTTCAAGGTAGTTCAATTGACAATAGTTAATTAAATTTTCGTTTTTCATCCTCTTCTTGTTCGTCACTTCCTCGTAATTCGGCATTCTGGATAATGCGTCGGCATTATGGTGCTTTCTTCCGGCCCTATGCTGGATCGTGTATCGGTAAGGCTGTAATCGTAAGATCCACCTTGCTCTCCGTCCTTTCAATGCTGTGTTGTGCAACCACTTCAATGCTGCATGATCCGTTACTATCACGAATGGTTTAAATCCTAGATAGTGATGGAAATGCTCTACGGCCCATATCACTGCGTAGCATTCTAACTCCGTCGCGGCATAATTTCTTTCTGCTCTAGTGAGACTTTTACTCGCGTAAGCAACAACATACTCCTTCTTATCTTCTCCTTTTTGAGCTAATACGGCGCCGAGTCCTACTCCAGAAGCATCCGTATGTAAATAAAATGTTCGCTCGAAATCCGGGTACTGCAAAATAGGCGCTGAAGTCAGGTGAGTCTTAAGCTTTTCGAAGGCTTGTTCTTGCGCTGTCGTCCATTCGTATTCCACTCCTTTCTCCAATAACTTATGCATAGGCTTTGCAATTGTCGCAAAGTTCTGGATAAATCGTCGGTAATATGATGCAAGGCCGATAAATCCTCGTAACTGTCTTAAATTCTTCGGCGGCGGAAATTCCTTTACTTTAACTATCTTCTCTTCGTCAGGCTGAATCCCATTTCGTCCTACTACATGTCCTAAGAATCTAATTTCCCTCTTAAACAATTGGCATTTTTCTTTGTTGAACTTTAATCCTGCTTGGCTGATCCTTGCAAACACTCTCCGTAGATGATCCACATGTTCCTCGAAGGTCGTCGAATATACGTTGATGTCGTCTAGGTAAACTACCACAAATTTTCCTAGATACTCGTGCAAAATCTGGTCCATTACTCTCTGAAATGTTGCTGGCGCGTTACATAATCCGAAAGGCATTACGTTGAACGCGTAGGTTCCTTGCTTCGTGATAAACGCTGTTTTCTCTTTGTCTATTTCTCTCATCTTGATCTGCCAATACCCGCTGGCTAGATCTAGGCTAGAGAACCAATTCGCTTTCCCAAATGCTTCCAGTAAATCATCGATCCTCGGTAAAGGGTAAGAATCTTTCTTCGTGACGGCATTTAACTTCCGATAGTCCACACATAGGCGTAGCTTTCCTCCTTTCTTCGGGACTATTACTACTGGTGACGTCCAAGGGCTCTTGACTTCTCGTATCAATCCTTTCTCCTTCATTTTCCGAATCTCTTCTTCCAAAAATTCCTGTTCACTAGGGGCTACTCTATAAGCATGCTGCTTTATCGGTTTCGCGTCTTCCGTATCGATCTCATGTTGCACTTCATCGGTTTGTCCTAACTGGTCTAATCCTTCGGCGAAAGCTTCCTTGTACTCTTCTAGTACTTGAATAGCTTGATCCCGTTGATCTCCACTAATAACTTCGGTCGTCGCTAACTCTTCTACTGCATCCTCCAGTGATGGTGTTTGTCGTTCCGTTTCTTCGGGTGTAGGGATCTCCTCGATCGTCGTCAAGTATACCGCTGGGCTATACTCGTCAGTCCAGGGGTTGGTATATAAATCCTTTTGATCGTCAGTTAGATAACTTTCCACTTCATCCAACTCTTCCTTCTCATAATTATCAAAATAATCATCCTCTTCGCAACTTTCTTCTTCTTCCTCTGGTTCTGGTTCTTCTATCTTCGCCTCTTTTTCCTGATGGATAGGCAACTCAATAATCTCGCCATCATAGGTGATGAACAGCTTCTGCTCGTCGAAGTGTAATCGTGCGCGTAATTTCTTGAACCAACTCATTCCTAATAGCATCATCTCGTCGGTTGACTCTATAACTTGAAAATCCGTAGGTATAATGATTCCTCCTAATTCTAGTGCTACATCCCTAATTTTTCCTAGCGTTCTTTCTCTTGTTCCGTTAGCGGTAACTACAACGGCACTGGATGGTTCCGTAATCCTTAATCCAAGCTTAGTAAGTAGCTTCTTTGACATAATGCTCACTGCGGCTCCAGAATCTAATACTGCTACGACTGGTATCTTTCGAATCTTTACGTTACATCTGGCTGCTGAGATTCGTTGAGGTTGGTTATCCACATATCCAACTTCCGCAGGTGGTACAATAGGTCGTTTCAATGCTTGTGCCAAGTTTTGTCGTTGTTTCGGGATCTGCAGTAACTGAGCGTACGTAGCATTAGCTCGTTGGTTTAACAAGTCTTCGGCAACGTTATATAGGGGCGCTTGGTCTACAACTGATGGTCCTCTTTGTCGCTTGATTCGTGGCGTGACACTCTTAGGTTTTTCTTTTGCGGATTCCTCTGTGATTTCCATCTCTACTGGTCGTGTGGTTTGTGTACGTTCCTCCTGTCTTTCCGGTTGTAATCGCGCGTCTTGTCGTGGCTGACTCGCAGTTTTCTCGGTAGGTTCTTTTCTTAATCCCAATTTCCTAGGGCGACCAAAGGTATACGGTTGATGTCGTGACCGGGTGACGGCATAGGCTTCATCTTCACTGCCTTCTACCTCACATAGATTCGCGTCGCGAGGGTTGGTAACTTGTGCTGGCATTCTTCTTGGTTCAGGACAATCACGAGCTATGTGTCCTTGTTTTCCGCAGTTGAAACATCCTGTGGTTCGGTAATTCTGATTCCTGGGATTCTCTTTTTCCTTTATCATCGTTGATAACTTCGATGACATTTCTCGTACTTGTTTCGCTAGGCTACTAATGATTTCGTTGGCTGGGTCGTTTTCCTTTCTCCTGCTGGTGTAATACTCTCCAGCTTCTAACTTTCGTGCGCTTGCGATTGCTTCGTCCAACGTGGCGGGTTCTACTAATGGCATTAATCTCGCAATTTCTCCTTTCAATCCTCCAGTGAATAATCGTACAACGTATGTGGTCGGCAAGCGGTGTTCTGAATTGACGCGTCTTAGCAACTGTTTGAATCGGTACGCGTAAGTATCCACTCGTTCTTCGCTCTTCTGCACTATCGTGTTAAGTTCCATTTGCCACTTGTGTCTTCGTTCCGGGGTGGCGAAATATTCAATGAACCTCGGGACGAAACTTCGGTCTTCGTGTTCGTCGTTATCCCAGTGGTCTATGGTTCGCCAGTTATCGTCGAACCAACTGACTGCTATTCCTGCCAAATATCCTGAGGCGATTTGCGTCTTTCTTCGCCCCGTCCAATTGTTTGCCATTGCTGCTCTTTCGAAGGCTTCTATCCATTCTATAGGGTCTTCTTGCTCTGTCCCGTAGTAAACTCTCACTGGTACCCAGTTTGTCTCTCGTCCAATTTGTTCGTGACGTTCGGGTATCCTCATTGCTTCTGCCGTGGCGTTGCGACAAGTTCTAAATATTTCTCCCAAAAAGGACTGAATATTGTCTTCATGAGTGGGAGTGGCTGCTCTCGACGGTCGCTCGTCATAATTTTCTCCAAAAATAGGCTCTTCTTCAACGCGGGCCATCCTGTATAAACTAAACTAAAACCAAAAAAAATAAAAATAAAGTGAAATAAAATCGTTCGCGAAAAAAATCGGGGGGGAAATGAAGTGTCGTGGTATTCAAATTCAATCTCATTACACACATAGCAACCAAAACACAAGGTTACACACTCACCGCCAGATATTGGTCAGATCCACAACAACCACCAAAGACGAAAACCCACAACATCTCATATACAGCCTTCATGGACGACACAACACTAATAACTCAAGACAAAGAAACACTACAAAAACTTTGTGACATATGTACAGAATTCTTCAACTGCAATGACATAAATATCAATGGATCCAAATCAAGCCTAATCATCCTGAACAAGAAGAAATACACAACAGAGCATATAACAATCCAAAACCAAGAAATAACAGCCCTACGTCCAAACCAGGCAGCAAGAATCTTAGGAGTTTACATGGAAGGCCTAGATACAAAAACATTTCAAAAGTATCTAATTCAGGAGAAAACCACCAAGTTTGTAAACACTATCAAATGGAAGACAACCACAGATAAACAGCTAAAATACCTCCACAATCAAGTCTGGATTTCATCAATAATGTATCTACTATCAGACCTCATCCTATCGGAAAAAGTTTGTGACACCATAATGAGCCACCTTAACAAAACATACAAGCACAAACTGAACATCACCCAAACAGCCCCCAACACGATCCTATATAACTCCTTAGAATATGGCTTCTTTCACATCTGGGACAGACAGATTCTTCTACATGCAAACAATTGGCAAAAAATGATTAACAGAAATGACATCATAGGGCAAATAACAAACATAAGACTACAGGAAGCACAAAACATCTACTGGTCAACAGAAGCAATTACAAGCACCAACTTTAAAGCACTACTCATTCCTTTAGGAAAGGACCTGACACATGAAGAAATATTTCTACTCAGACAACAAGGCTTCACAGGAACCATCGACGCAATTAAAATCATACAGAAGACTGATATAACAATCGAAGAAATTGTAGAACAAACATGGTTCAACAAACACAGAAAACAACTAGCAAAAAACCAAATAATGTTCCTCAACCAAATCACCAATTTCGCAGGCACAAGACTGGCAGCATGGGTAGAAATTACTTACCCCAACAAGAAACCAAACCGGAAAAAACCCACATGGTACAAAGAACTACAAGCCAACTCCAGAATTCACGAACTCATCAAACAAAGAGCAAAAAGTCTAACCTTCACCCACCCAAATATACAACTCACAATAGAAACACCAAGAAACAAGATCAAGTGGGTTGCAAACAAAACCAACAAAAATAATATAATCGGAAGGAAAAAAGCAATAACAGGCAATACAGCAAAACTACAACACTACACAAGAATCAATGAACAGTCTCCACTGCAAGAATGCCATGGATGTGCCATAGACACCCAAGGGAAACCAGGAGAATGTATATTCACAAGAAACCTCTGCAGCCTAATTAACATCCCAGTACACAAGAGCAGGAAAAGCTCAAGATACAAACAAACGAAACAATAGTACACAGGAGCCACATCACATCTTCAAGCTTACAAACAATGCTTAATAAAGCTTTCCTACATCACAACCTCCCCGAACTATCACAAATAACCCAAAATGCACTCCACATTAACAAACAAACAATTCAAAAGTCTATAAACTCCTCATCAAATACAATCGAAAAACTAGCAATGATCAGACACAAAATCGGAAAACTCAAGACAATAACCATATACACTGATGGATCCCTAAGCAAAAACAAAACAATGGGTTTCGGATAGCACATCCCACAAATGCCAGAAATCAACTTCCAAGGAAGAATCGAAAAATTCCCATCATCAACTAGAGCAGAACTAGCTGCAATAGCCTCCTTCCTTATAACAGCTCCAGCAGGAAGCAAGGTAATAATATATAGTAACAGCCAGGCGGCACTCAACGCCATTGAAAAAACACAAAAGGATCACTCAAAAATAAGAACACTCAACAATAGTAATCTAATTAACTCCATCATACACACAATCGACTCACAACATATCCAATACATGGTGAAAAAAATCAAAGTTCACAATCAAGACCCAAACAATGACAAAGCAGATCAGCTGGCCAAAGAAGCAACAGATCTGAACGCCGATTCCATCATAAATTT